TGATTCACGGTCGATCCCATGACTCGAAAGGTATTTCGATTTGCTTTCGGGGACAATTCATAAACATTGCATTCAAATTCGACAGGTCAGATTAAAATTACAAAATCTCAATGCATAAATTTCATGGACCGGATTAAGCCAGATTGTGTAAATGTTGAACCCGTGATAGGCCGGATCAACCTGGTTTGCACACTAGCCGTTTGTCACTTTTTAACCAAGCAAAAGAGACAAATCTATAGAACGAAGAGAACCACGTTTTTCACTTTTTCTTACGTTCTCAACTAAAACTTGCGCATTACATACATCATTATTAAGGCATCGTTTTTCGTTTCTTTTGGTCCAAAGATATTAAGGCATCTAATTCGATCAAACTATGACAAATAACGAACAGTAACTACCACTTACCGTTTACCTTTGATACTCGAAGGCATATTTACCTTAGAAGACTAGAATCCGTTTGGCCCACCTCAAGGATCCGAAGTTGTTCCAAAAATGTGCTCTATGCTTAAAGTGATCTCCAATGAACAATCTTGCTTGTTGTTAAAGCTAATCACTTACACGCTATATCGCATTAGATCCTTATCTATCATTTGGCCAAATATGTAGAACTGTGCATACAAGATATTAAAATCGGCCAAAACCTCCAAGAATATGTTTATATTTTTGTTCGGAAAAGACATAAAGAAAGAGGGAATCGGATTCCCCCTCATCTTTTATATTGACATCAACCACATTACTTCTCTTATATAAAGATACCTCCGATAGTCTTCAAAAGTATCTTTAACAAAATCCTACCCAGAACGAAAAAAAAGAGCTAAAGGGTTTTAGTTTGCTGAAGAAGAATGGTACTCGAAAACTCCTCCAATAACAAATCTCATCACCATCATCATCACCGGAACTCGATGAAGGAGTTCCGAGGTGTCTACGCAGCTGAAGAACCGATTCAGGTCTTCGAGTCGGATATGAGGAGGACTAAGAGCGAGAAGATGGGTACGAGAGAGGTTGTGAAAGAAGAGGATGTTGACAAGGAAGCAGAGGAATTCATCAAGTTTGAGCATAGGAAGTTCAGTAAGTGGATGACTAAGAGTGTCTAGGTCTATTGATGAAGAATGAAACAATAAGGACATTACCATATATTCTATATAGATTGTATTAAAATGATATTGTGTTTTTTCTTCGGGTTTTTATTTTGGTTTTGTAACAAAATGGATGTTGTTTCCTTTTGCTAAAAAGGTGCATATGGAAATAAGACTATAATTGGTAATTTACTCAACTTCCGGATCGAGAGCATGATTAACGGTGATTTTTCACCTCGGTTCTTGCC